ATGAGTGCCTAACATCTAAATGGTTTAGGTTTGAATCCCTGGAAGGCCTAAGTGAAAATGTTGTGCCTTTCGGAAACACACCATGCCTATGGTGTGCCTTTCGGAAACACACCGTGACTATATATATGGTGAAAATGAGTACCTAGCTTCGGTTAGGGACGTCCTCTCAGGTGGGAGTTAAAGTTGAGGGCCCGTGTTCGGGAGAGCAACATCTCAAGCACGTTAAAGATCTCATCACAGTTATCGAAAAAAGTAGGGGTCCCTCCTGGATCGAAGATGAAAACAAACGACAAACCCGGCAGTTAAAGATCTTAACGCAAAACAAATCGTAATCGTTTAGAACAAATTTCGTTGAGGGTAAGAAATCAGAGGTGATGGACGCTCCCTCTCGCACACACCTTGGTGGAACAAATTGATTTTAAAAGTTGGGAGACCGCAGCAGCCGAGAACGCGTTCTCATGTCCAGCCAACCTTTTATCCGCCATGAGTAAAGGACCATCTAACTGCTCTACCCGAGTCACGTTTTCGCTGGTCATTGGTGTATTGAGTGTCCGCAAAGCCGTCTATACCAGGGTCGGTATTAATGGATTTTTCATCACCGATATTAGATGACCCATGACCTGACCCCGTGACCCCTAACTGTTAAGTGAGCGGGTATCATGCGCGTAACAAAGAGCGTCGCGAAGGTAATCTCGCTCTTTTTCTCGCCATCTATTATCGCTCATTTGATGCGAGACAGGATTAATTTGTATCTCATAAAACGGCCTTTTTGTGGCTGCGGGAAGGAATTCTCTAGCCCAGCGACCTTTCAGGGCTGCTTTTGATGTGGGGGAGGCTGAGCGATGACCCGTTGGAGTGCGGAAAGGTCTTACCCTGCGCTAAATTGAGTCGGCCAGCTTTATGAAATGATTAATATGATGTGATGGGCCCGGGTGTGTCCTTTGCACGCTAACAGACTCGCTAAACAGGAGCCGCTTGTAGTCTGACCACGAGATCGCCCGCAACCGATATTCTATTACAAAAGTTCGGCACGGACAAGCAGAAATTTAAAAAAAAAGGATTTACTTCTTATCGTGTTTTCTTTTGCATTTCTCTCCTCTCGTACTTGAAAGTTGCTTAGTTGACGAGATTGACACACGTCATACACTATTACCGAGGTAACTGAATATCTAGTAATCCTCTAGAGTCATATATATTCTTTCTGATGATTAGGAACCGGGTAACTTGATAGAAATGTCCTTTGGTCCTATCATGATGACTACATGCGTTACTTCGACAGAGGCCTATCAAATGACAAAGGAAGGTGTATCATTTTATGGCCACTGTGTCATATCTCCTTGTGTGGTAACTTTAGACCATGTTACTCAGGTTTTAGAACGTGTTTCTGACATGTTTTACAAAATGGGTTACATGTAAGCATTTCTCGGGTGTTGACATTTATATGCATGGCACAATACTAATGTGTGCACGTATACGCATATATTGAAGAATATAAAGAAAGATGTAATTTCCATATACCTATAGATTACAAAAATTTCAGTTTTAATGCAATCTAATTATAGTTCAATAGTCGTAGCTACACATTAGTAGCTACACAGTAGTTTAATGTTGTCTAAACAGATTTGTAGGCATGAAATTATCTCAATGTCTACCCAGGCGCATTTTTCTGGCATTTTTGACATATTAAAAAACGATACTTTTTGCTCCTGTGCAATGACAGTTGAAGCAGTTATAAAGAAATAAAATGAAGCTCTACTTTATCACTGGAATCTAATGCGACATATGAAATGAAAATTCTCAAATCAACTTTTCTACCAATTACCTGATCGAATCTACCGGACACTTTGGTCATCTGAAGACGCTTCTGTCTCTGCTGTCTGTCGAGAAGATGAATCAAAGCGGACAATTAAGGAATCGATTTTGTCTTAAGGTTGTAATTTGGAGGAAAGGTGCATTGAGAAGAAATATGACGGAGATCTTCGCTTATCGACCAATCTGTCAAACAAGAGGCAATTGTTCTGGACGAAAAGGGCGATTGTTATCGCGTGTGGAATATAACGTGTGAAATCCGCAAAGCTGAGACATTATGGGTGCTGATGGACAGTGCCACGTTATTACCTCCGGGGCGGAAGTATTGTTTTGGGTGGCACTGTAGTTGGTTAAGGAGGAGTCGGTACGTACTTCGTCCTATAGATAAGGAGCGAGGATTGTTAGTAAGTGGACGGAGATTGGGTTTCAGTTGATTGACAGGGTTGTGACCCGGTATGCCCCTGGTGGTAGGATGTGGTATGGGGTCGCCAGAAAATTGTACCGTGTAATCATGGTATGAAACATGAACCATGCATGGTACGAGTATAATACCGGAATGAGTTACGTCATTCAATATATCGTATGAGTAATAATCCATTCTATGATTACTTCAATCGGGTATTTGTCATATATAATGTCGTTCCGATACAGTCAAATAAACCCCAAACACTTCCAGGAAGTTTGTAAAACATGAATTACATCTGTACAATATTAATAGTGCTTCCACAGGCATCAGTAACGTTACTAGTATCTCTGACGACGAGGCTTCAGGAGTCTAAGGGCATCACCTAATTGTCTGTCTTTATATGGCTACAATCAACCTAAGCTTGCACAGCCGTTTCCCTGGACATCGTTTGTGCGATATAATGTGATGATGAAAATGTATGCGTGTTTCCTTATTCCTTTAAAAACAACGCCATTGAAGACTGGTATGACGGCCCCGGTGTACCTAGTCGATATACAATGTGTAATTGAGCAAACTGACAAAACTGCTGTCTAATGACATGTTACAGATGCTCCATGCATAGTCTTTAATTGCAGCGGCTAAGGGACTCAATAAAAAAGGTGGCAATACAGGATGGCAATACATGTAACTGTGAAGGAATGGGCAGATGGGGGTAATAACAATTAAGATAATACCGATGATGGCTGTCTCAATCAAGGACCCCGAGGTTTACGTTATGTTACCTGATGAGTCAACCAAAATAATTTCGTAGTTGTGTAGTACATGTATTATCTTTGCCCACGCACTTTCTAATGATCTCCTGTCATAAAATGGTATAAAAAAAGCAATGACAGTTTTGAACTTAAAGCTGTCTGCATCATCAGTGGACTTTAGAGGACGTTCCGCGTCCGCAAGTTACGGCCCTGGCACCCATGTCGACAAGAAGCCACGCCACTCTGCACGGCAGACTGTGGGCGTGCGGAACTCGCGTCGCCACCCCGGCGCGCCGACACCGCGGACACACCGCCAAATGACCCGTACAATCACTTAAGCCCAGCCGGGGACATTTCACAAGACATTTTCCGTAATTCCTTAACGAGAGCTGAGGCGTGGAAAGCGAGGAAAAAGCTGATAAAGTTGGTGCGCGAAATTGCACTTCGGACGCCTCGCCCCTGATAACTCGATACATCACGCCTAATATCTGCAGCGGCCCGGGGGTTATATAGCCGTGAACCCCGCCGGCCAATTGACTAGGCGCAAATTCGTTCGTCGCTGGGGACGTCCCACCTCCATTACCTACTCCCAGGTGCATTGTTTGTAACCAAGTTGTGACAAGTTGATGTTTTTTTCCGGAAGGGGAAACTGCGCGCCGCTTCGCGCTATCGATGTGACGGAGAATGCGAGCGAACACAGCGTTCCATTTGGACGATCATTCACGGTGATAACGCTAAGTTCTCCGGGTAAAGTGACAGGAAGAAGGAACTGTCGCGGAAAGACCTCGACACTCGCCTCTAACTACAGCTTATCTCACGGGAAGAAATGGATACTAGTATGACGTTATTTTTACTGGAGAGCACTAAAGTAAACTGATGACAGAAAGGGACCTCGTGGCAAGGCTGAGTTGAAGATTATTGTGATCAATGTTCCCCAAACTTGAAATAGGCCGGAGGAAGCGAACGGAACAATGACAATGGACGTCATAGGGTCGACAGGACTCTTCACGGTTTATTAGGAGAGCCCTGTGTTTGAAAATACAAAAAAATGTATGTACCCGGAAATGGATATAAAATTAGAACAAAAACTCTTTTATAGAGCAAGAGTTCATCAAACTTAAATGATGACTTTTCTACCTCAGGAAGCAACGAACAGTGATCTAATATCTCTCAGACATGAAAGTAGTGGACACGACGCAGCGTAGCAGAAGCTGATTGGCAACGCCACCTTGCAGTTTGCATGTACGTTGCCTGTATCAGTATTGGAGCAACACAAATACGATAGCATTGCCTCAATTTGAATCTGACCTTTGTTCCATGGAAAGAAAAAAAGGTGATTTTTGAAAAAGATGGCATTTCGGTCAGGTTTGCGAAAGGTTTTCTCCAATTATTGAAGTAAATTTTTCCGTAAACTTATGTTACCTTAATGCTACTCCAAACGTTTAAATCGGTCTTTGCCCAACATTAACAATATTAACTTCGATAACAAATGTTCGTATTGTATCCTTCGGATCCGCCCCGATGGTAATACAGGGATTTATTGCCATAGCAGAGGTTTGGGTAATTCTTGGCATGTTTTTAGACTTTTTTTATCGGGGTTTCTTTTTTTGCACTGGAATTTTTGTTTAACCCAACCGTGCAAAAGAAAAATTCCAGTGCAAAAAAGAAACCCAGATAAAAAAGTCTAAAAACACGCCAAAAATAACCCAGACCTCTGCTTGGAGAGTATGCCGTAGGGTCCTGTGAGCGGATTTGCAACGCCTCCGCGGGCCGTGGATGGTTAAATAATTACTGTACTAGGATTTTCTTTATAATTGATAAAATTTAATATACATATACAGAGAGAGGGGGAGAGGGGGGAGTCGAGCTACCTCCATGGAGGTAACAACGAAGAGCGAACACAGCGTTCCATTTGGACGATCATTCACGGTGATAACGCTAAGTTCTCCGGGTAAAGTGACAGTACCCAAACCCAAAACAATACCTCCATGGAGGTAGCAACGAAGATATCAAAACACCAGCCGGGAAACCTGTTATGGTACTATTTAAGTACGATGCGGATTTTATTCCACTTAATGTCGTCACCAAGTTTGGCATGAGCCAGGGGCAATATCCTAGGTCCAAATACCGCCAAGCTCACAATACATTCACATAGGGTGAATAACCGGACATACCATCCGAGCAATGCGGCTTATCCGATGTACATGTAGTCATATGCCAAGTCACGGCGCTCAGCTGGTCTCTACATACAGAACCAATAGTAAAATCGTCGGATAGATATCATACCACCGTGTTGAGTCCGACATGAATTCCTAAAATTAAAAGCGTTCGGAGAATGCAAACCTCGGCCATTAAATGTGCAGAAACGTATATGGCATTTATCAGCATACATAGCTCTAATAACACATATCCTGACTCTTAGCTCTCGTATTAGCCAACGCGGCTGTTACAGTGTGTGAAATAGAACTTTCAATTTGCCTTCAGTGTTAGACGACATACAGCTACTCTGTCAGGATTCCCCAGACGATCGCCATCGCATACAGGGAGGTGTTTTGTCGGGTAAACTCGGCAAAGTCGTCCCCAGGTTTGCCCCAGGTACACTGACTGGCACAGAACACCGTGTCTCCGCCGCCAGATGACCCGACGGTCACAAAACTCACGAACTTGTATCCCCTCGGTCCCTTCTGTAACAGCGTCGTCTTCAGCTCAGCTGACAACTTCTGCGTCAGGTTCTTACAGAAGGCAGGCTCGTAACGCCTGCCGATGACGCGACGGTCAATCGTGTCTTCTATGATCTGCTTGACTTGAAGAATCGGAAAGTGTTGTTGACATTGACTTTCCCTGGGGGTCAGATGAGCTCGGGATGTGTTCCAGGCGGCGTCCGGGATGGCCCAGACGATACCTATCCCGTACAGAGACGCATTCTGGAACGACGACTCCGCAAATTCGTCCCCCGTCGCCTGGCCCAAAGCCTTGACGCATTGACTCCCGTAGAACACCGGCCCTGCCGCCTGGTTTGGCCCCACGTCGATGAAAGTAATAAACTTGTACCCTTTAGGTCCCCGCTTTACCAGTTTATCATTTAACTGGTCCAGGATTTTTCTGGTCAGATCCCTGCAGACGCCAGCGTGGTACGTGTGACCGCCCAGGTTCTGCCGCAGCGTCTCCTGTACGAGATTTTTCACATGCAGAGCTGGAAAGCGTGGCCTTTCGGACGTCATTTTGTTCCAGTTGTTTGTTAGACTTTCGGTGGTCTGGCCGGGCATGGCGGCAGGCCAGGCATAGAGCCTCTCTGGAGACAAGTAAGGATAAAAATGGCTAGAGAGAAAGTGGCTCCAGTGACGCAGTGAGGACGCACTCCGTTCCGGAAAGGAAGTGGTGTTATTTTGATGACTTGTCACAGATACTCCCCAAACTAGGACTAAGCCAGCCAGCAGGGCGTTTTGCTCAAGGTCATAGATAGCGGTATCATGCCAATACAGTGATACACGCAGTGGCTATATTAGTCACGTTCCTAGCGAGTATTGGGCAACATCCGGAGATAGGGATTCTTCTCAACGTGCTGTCTCACCGAAAGTAGCTAGACCACGCCATACCATCAACAACAACAAATCAGAGATTTCAAACCTCCGGGAAGTATGTACAGTTTTTGGAATTTTATTCGCATGACAAAAGAGACGTACAGTACTTTCAACAGGCCTCAATGGGCAAAACCCTTACTGAGAGCCCGGACGTGCACGAACCTAGCTTCTTGTGACAAGCCATAAGTGACTTGTATTGGCTGTGTTCCATCTACAGTTACAACCCCCTCGATCAAAACATATTTTCTAATTGTTTTCAATACATATTTTATCCATTTGCAGAAAGTCTGTTGAAGACGATTCCCCAGATGTCCCACTTCTTTGTGCAGTACCGTACTACCAACAGCATTTAAAATTCTTGGGTGAAACCATACCCAGTAGTAATATATTGGAAACACATATTTGTGTTGTGGTGACTTCACTGTGGCAAAACTGCATAAGTCAAACAACCACAGGCATTTCCAGAAATTTCTCAATCATTATGATGGAATAAAAAAAGGAAAAGACAAAAAAGTTTGTCTAGTTTAAAAGCCACCTGATTAGTGTCTTTTTATATGGTACTTACTGTGTAAAACAGCAGACTCCAAATGACACTACCAGAGCTGTTTACAACTTAAGGCCCTTCACGTTTGATCTTATTCATGCACAGTTCAAGCCAAACTGATCATATGGGTGAAAAATGAAGTATATACAGTCAAGGAGGTTGAGGAGAAATACATCTATTATCTGCTTACAATACATTTGTACTTACAGAGTTAAAAGTGTCATTCTTTAATATTGCACAATATTGTTAGATCTAAATTTGGTATGTACATGCATCTGATAAATGTAGATTCACCCAAATATATCTATCAACTGTACAAATGATAACTTTTAAGAAAAGTAATGGTCACTTAGAGGTCACCATACTCCTGAAGGTCATGTTGATCCTGACCCCAAGTGCCTTCTTCCTGACGGGGAGGGAGTGGTACCAGTAGTGATTGGTCGGGTGGTTCATCATCAGGAGACTACCGTGCTCCAACTCCAGTTTGACGGGATCGATGGCGCGCTTGGCGTTCTTTCCGCGCGCGTCGCAGTGTTTGAAGATGAAGTCTCTCTTCTGTCCGAGTGAGAGGGAGGCGATGGGAGCGTCCCGTACCAGGTCTTTCTCATCATCCCGATGTTCCCCCATGTGGTCCTGTCCATCCTTGTATCTGAAGAGAGTGAACAGGAGCAGGTTTAAAGGAGCACTAGAGTCAGGAGGAGGGTGTTATTGTCCAGATAGTGTTTCTAGGAATTAGAAGTACAGGGAATGCATGGCTACTACTAGTACTAGATACCGTTTTACAAAACACACCTTGCAAAAGTGGAATTCTGTGAAAAGTCAGCAGCTGATTATGTATTGATTGATAAACTATGTATTGGAAATAACAAGACTATCTGGTGCTCAGACCTCACAAACCTGAGGTACCCTTCGTTCAGTGTTTCTCACCTGTTAACGAGAACAAAGTTAAACTTGTGTCCCGTGACCTCCTGTATCCTGTCCCTGATCCCCTGTATGAGAGGTGTCCATGGTCGGGCAGGAACCTCCACCCCCGAAAACCGGTAGGACAGTCCGGGGTCACCAAAGGCTACCTGCTTCCTGGGAATGTTGTGGAACTGTCCAAATATCTGTAAAGGGGTGGTCAGGTTGTTAATAATTGTGAATTGCTCTGTTTACCTCTCTCCTGCCAACAGACTCCCAGGAAACTTCCTGGTGGCACCCAGCCAGAACCCTAACACAAGCAAACACACATTTAGCAAATAATACCTCTGTATACAGAGGTAATCACTATACTTATTAATTGCAGACATTTATTGCAGGAAAATTAATCCCACTAGCACCGGTGATGATAATGTCTTGTCTGTGTAAAACGTTCTGTGTACATAACAACATGACCCTTGACCTCAATGGATGGGGATGTATAAATTATAATATGTGATAATGAATGTCAAGAAAATTCATTCCGTGACTCCGTTATGCATAGGTAACTTTAGATGCAGCTTTATTTGCATGAATGATGATTTCTATTGAAACATGTAAATTTCTATTGAAACATGTAGCTTCTGGATAAAACCCCTGACCTGTACTTTAGCCAGGTCGCCGGTGTTGTAGACAAGTTCTTCCTCACACGTCTGTAAGAGGGTCCGTGCTTCACCTGGCCTGTACAACACAGTGTAGTCGCAGTTGAAGTTCTCTCCGCGTAATTTTCTCCACTTCAGGTCTTCTTTGGTGTTTGTTGTTCCTGACGTCTTTCGAAATTTTGGAGCGCCCCCCTCCCCGCTCAGTCCTCTTTTTGGCGGCGAGTTACGAATGCGGCTTGATTCTCCGTTTTGTCTGTCAATAACTTTTCGACTCACAGGCGTCCTGGTTGTTCCCTTCCTTATCAAAAACTTGTCCATCTTACAAAATGTCTGGTTAAGTATCACTATCACCACAAACTTGTCGATGCAGCCTTTACGTTTTACGGGGTGCCGCCGTCCGATGGATCAAAAGCGCCCCGTAGCGCAAGGATATAAAACTGCACAATTTCGTCTCAAAATTTTGAGAGGGCCATCCCACTTACAAAACCCACCTGATGACAAAAAAAAGTTCCCACTTGGCAAGCCTGTTCTGTTTCAATAACCGTCCTTTTCAAACAAGTGCGTTAAATAAGGTGCTTCCATTGTGATACTTATCACTTTGTATATGATTGTGTGAAATAAATTCACCACCTGCTAACAGTACTGTAGCCACATGGAGCTAAAATGAACAAGAAATCAAATATCTAATACCTCCATGATATGAGGTATCAAGAGTTTTTGTGATTTCATTGTGAATATCTCTGTTAATTATTTAAGCTGTATGGATTTCTCCAGATACTTGTCAACAGCCAACGTCTTCTACTCTCAGCTTGTGGGACCCAATTTTCTGTCTGACCTGTGGTCTGTTGTGAGGTAATAAGTACCCCCCCACACACACACACACGTTGTCATTCAAATAGTTATGGATACAAGGAAAAGTAAAAACAATGCAAAACAAAGATATGAACTGCACAATTTATTAGGGGTGATGTTTAAGCTACAACACTCCTTGTTATTAAAGTGATGAATATGTGTCAGATTGAACAAACTTTAACAAATTAGTTCCATCTTTCAAAAAGGACTTCTGCATTTTGTAATTCAGCGGGTGTATTGGGGGTTTACGCTACATTTTTTTAAGAAATTGACAAGGGCAAATGAAAAGATTTTTGAGGTCTCACCAAATACAAAGAGGTTTGGTTTAATGGGTTACATGAAAATGCAGCGAAGGATAATGACAGTTGGGAAATGTGAAAGGTCAGTCTTTCATTTGTTAACACAAAAGTATCGGTAAACTTTACAAATGCAAAAGTCCTGGCATACTTTGGAGGAGTACATTATGTTTCAAGATATGAAGCAAATCCAACCAAAATACACAAGAAGTTACAGTATCCATTAGCTGTTGGGAAGGTAATTAATGGTTTTACTAGGGAAGAATATCAACTGTTGAGCAGCAATAAAATAAATGTAGTAAAACAAAATGCCTGAAATTCTGCCCTAAGTCAGCAAGTTACCATAGATACCACACAGCTAGGGATGAACTGTACCTTTCCTTTACTGCTGCATGGTGACATAGTTTCTTTCTTTACAATTATTGTACAAACTTCAATTTGCTTCCATCACAGGGACAATGAAAGTTACTCCAGCAAATGCAAAGTCAGCTCTTCAAAATATCTGTGTTACTTCCAGAATTAAGGATCCACAGCAACATAATGGCAATAGACAATTCTGGACTCGTAGTTTAGTTTCTATTGTTATTTCATATCTTTTGCTTGTTTCTGTGATTCTGATGTTCTTTGTAAACATTTTTATGGAAATGTTATAGGATTCAGAACAGCCAAGCCCAAATGCTTTTGCAGTAAACTTTGCATTCAAAAACATTTCTCACTTAAGTCCAGAATTGTCTCCTTGTGATTTTGTAAATTACCTCGAAACACACATTTTCACACACATTATACCACCACTCCCTCTACTATACATAAGAACATTTGGATGCAAACCCTGAAATTACATATCATCGACTGTGCCACCACAGATTTAGTAACCGTAACTCTATTTATCATTTTGTATGCTGTACTGATAATATATACATTTACTTCACATACTAAATTTCTGCAACAACCATTTAAATACAATCTTTAAAGTCTTTTGCCTCTTCCCTTTTGTTAGACCCGTTCACTGAAAAATACGCGTGTACATTGTTCGTGCGGTATTGTGCCAAACTTTTCCCTGTCCAGTGCATATTCCTTCTGTGATCCCCACTGATAAATGGTGCACAGTGCTTGTGTTGCATACGCAGAACTACATGTATTACTGATAATGCCAAATTCTACCCTGCAATAAGCTAGTTCATGGGTTGAAAAGCGCATGTGGAGTATGATGCATTGTGGGTATTGTGTCAAACTTGAAGGACCCTGGCCCTGGTAATACATAACAAATGGCCTTTAAAACTTTGACATATTGCCCACAATGCATTACACAACTACTAGGTAGTTCATAAATACAAACTCAGTAGCTATGAGTATTACCTCAAATATAACAGTTTCAGCTGACAGTAAATTTTGATATCAAAAACTATTCGTTGAACTATTTCTGTTTTCTGTTCCTATCCAGAAATGTGGTTAAAAATCAAACTTTTTTGCAGAGCCATTGGTGCAGATGGCTTTAAAAAGGCCCAGCTGTTGTTAATGAACAAATGTAAATGTAAGGTAAAAGTGTATCCTGCACAGAACAAATACAAACAGCTTTATCTAAAGTTCTGTTGTGACACAAAGTTAGAACAAAAGGAGTCCGTCCATGCAATATGACATTCTTGGAAATGTTCTGGATGAATTTGTAAACATGATTTGGACATGTTCCTCTTGGTGGCAAAGTACAATGGACCTTTCAACTATAGCCAGTGGCAAAAGATATTTCATATTCATGTATTTCTAAACATCACACGTGAAGTATTAAACACAACAGTTTCAACAAGAATAAAACTACACACTGGCCAAACTGATGGATTTAAAATGGAAAACATTGCAACTACACATGTAGGCCATTAAGTCACATACATTTACAAAGGTTAAATTTGTCCCAAAATAATGTCCCTTTTCTCTACAACTGAGACTAGTAATAGAGAACACATCATTCTGATTGGCTACAACTGTATAATGCTACTATGCCTGGGATTGGTTAGATGTTTTGCAGTGCAAGTTTTGATTGGTTGACAGATGACTAATTTATAGCTGAATGGCTGTGAGTTTGTAAGGCACAAATGGTAGGCTACTTGCTGTTGATAAAACTTTCCTCATACTCGATTCTATACCTTTGTGTGCGATTCTTTGTAACTAACTGTTACTTATTGGAAATTTTTGTGACTGATGAAATGTGGACATGCTGTGCACATCAGCTGTCATTTGAATGAACCAGTGCCGACTGATAATTGGTGGGAAGTGCGCTCCTCAGAGCTTGAGCGCCCGTGGCTTGCAGGACTGCATGATGGCCCGTGCCTGCTGGATGAGTAACTGTTGGTCGGCAGTCTTCCCGCAGGCGACCTGCTCGTATCTAGTGTCCAGCTGATGACAAACAACAACATCAGGTCACATAAATGTATGCACTTCTTACTATCATGTGTTACTTGACAGAGGTGGCCTGTTAACATACCTTTTTTGCCTTCTTGTAAGCATTTGACAACAGCTAAAAATTTCAGACAGTTTGTGAAGGGTTAGTTGAGTACCCAGAAACATGACATTTTTCTTAGGTGTACTATCAGTAATTTAGGGGAGTATTAGTGCTGGCCAGCCAATCAGACACTGCCTTGCAGCTGAACATGTTTACCTTGACGACTTTGCTGGTCTGTCTGGTCTGCACAGGGGTCTCCTGGAAATGGACGTGTCGTTTCGTGGCTGACCGCAGCTGGTAAAGGGTAGAGAAATACTTGTATCATAGGTCTTCACTATGTGAAATCCTACAGCTAACTTAAAAATTTAATTTTTTTTCTGACATTGGTACAATTATAATACCTTAATGTACCTAACTCTACACAAATATCTAGGTGTTACCAGTGCATCTGAAGTCACAAATTAGGTGGGTGCACAGAAGTGCATGTGCACCCAGTATACCAAACCCTCCAGCTTCTTGACTTGCACGTCCAGTGACTAAACAAACCCTTAATCTACATGGTTGTCTTACCTTCATCTTAGTTGGTGAGGATGGCAGGTTGAAGGCGTTGTTCAGGCCCAGGGAGGTGTCAGCCAGCTGCAGGTCCTTCCCTCCCTCCACTCTGGACCCCGCGGGAGGGGAGAACAGCAGCGACACCTCAGACAGAAGATTCTTCATCTGGGAAACATTAACATGGATTATGATTATTGACATTTTCTAAGAATCATACAAAAAAATTTGAAGCTTTTTCCTTGGCTCTACAAAACAAGACTTGAAAAGCAGTGTTTTCTTACCGGTGTGTCCATCATGGCTTCTATAGCATTCTCTTGTTCATCAGCGTCTGGTGCCCAGTTCTCAAGACAGGCCAGGGACTTCCGTGCCTTCTTGGATGGAGATGGGTTCTGAGAAACCATACATACAAAAAAACAATGCTTGATAAAATAACAAATGCATGAAACAGCAAGATCCTTGGCTATAAAAATCATGTGAAGTGCCTACTATGCAATTCTCTAAAGAACATGACTGAAACAGAAATAATGGTAAACATTGGTTAAGATTAAAACAAATAGGTACCATAGCCCTTTTCAGCCAAGAAAGAGGAGCAAACCACACAAACTTAAATAAGTGTCCTTCCTCTCCCGACAAGACCCTTTGTTGTGTCCCTAACATCCCACCTCTGACTTCCTTTTCCTGTCTGGTGTCTCGTTGTTGCAGAAAAGTTCGCTGTATTTCCCACCATCCTCCTGTTTGATGACCTCCGACAGGTCCTTCTCAATGTGACCTGGGGTCACGGGCTGGAAGAAGAGTAGGTTACAACTTTTACTTCCTGGTATGGAGGTTTGTTTTTGGTGTCTGTGAGTTTGCTTGTGCTTCCGGTGTTATTTCCACATACTAGGCAAGACACATAATTTTGAAAAACAAGTCAATGGTGAGAGATACTTACCAGATTCTTCAGCTTTCCTCCTTTCTTCTCCAACTCAGCGAGAGCGTCCTTGAATGGGGTGGGTGTTCTGGGGGTCATGTCAATCAGACGACGCTTCATCAGAGGGGTACGGAACACTTCCCTGTTCAAGCAATCAAAATCAGACCATCAGAAATTGTGAACTTCGGTTTATGTCACTTTAGATCAATGGAATAATTCGGGACTTGGGATTTTTAATAGAAGCCCATCTTGAACGAATTCCTACCAACAAAATTCAAGATTTGTGCAGTGAGAATTTGTCTAGAGCATGGTTGCTACAAAAAAGACCATACAATGATAATGCATGACTGACTGTGCATCCTTGTTCTCCTTGCCCATGATGGAGGTGTTTGTAGCTGGGGTGTTGAGTGGACCGCTGACCGGCGTGGTGCTGGTCGGAGCACGGCTGCAGATGGGAGTGGACGTCAGCATCTCCGTGTTGATGTCAGGGGTGTTAAGGAACTGAGCAGGGAGGGGGAATACAGGGTGATGAGTGTTTATCATATCCTGTAAATAGTGAAACTTTGATGGTGGTTTTATTTCATGGTGGAAGAGGTTTTGCAGTGACCTTGAACTGACCTGAGAAGGTGAGAATGGCAGTGGTTTGATGGGTGTTCTCTGCGGAGTGTTGTCAGCTTCCTTACAGGGCGTCAGGGTGGTGTCGTGGGACAGGACGGAGGTGCTGAGAGAGTTCTGTTCATTAGGTTAAGGACGGCAGACCTACTAATTCCTTCGCCTTTATTTTAAGGAGTACTGTTTATGAAACTAAAATACAATATTTTCTTATCATTTGCAATAATAATAGTTGTATAATATATGTTTAACAGCAAGAGAGAAAGTCCTCAAAAGACTACTGTCAGACAATGTTTCCAGTAGCGTGCGACAACAGCCAGGATTTGAATGCACGACCTCTTGCTCATGCTACAACTTTTGTATGGTAGCTAGTACATGAAGGATACGTGCTTCTTGCGTTTTCTCCTGAGGATGGGAGGTGTGGTGAACTTGGACGTGATGGGTGATGTAATCGGGATCAGACCACCGCTCTTCCCTGGGGTCTCCTTGGCCAACCCCTGGATAGCACGACCATCAAACCTGTATTCTGTTGGACAAGTGAAGAAACAAGTATGGTATGGATACTGTTATGCATTATTATACACAGAGGCAAGGCCATACTGATTTGATTTATTAATATTTGGAAGATATCCTATCGGCACTCCAAAACTGAGGTAAGTGTGAAAAAAAACATTGGGCAAAGAAAGTTGCCTTCGTGATGAATTCAAAGTGAACAGTGCAGAAAAATCCTATACAATTCCTAGAATTCTTGCATGCTGCTTACTGTAAACCTAGAAACTTTTGAAAAAACTTTTGCCAAAAACATCAGCATTGATCTATTTACCTGTGCTGCCCTCAGCAGGCAGGTGTCTGACTTGTTCCCTCTCGGCGGTCCTGTTGATGGCCATGTCTCCGATCAGCTCCAGCTGGCCGAAGTCCTTGTCCCACTCCTCTCCCTCCGCGTCCACCATCTGCAGCGTCTCCGTGAACTCCGGTACCGAGCGCAGCGGCGACACGATGGCTGCGTGCAGAGCGTTGATAACTTGGTTGGTGAGAGATGATAGAAAACAGTTGGGGTGGTGGTGGGACGAAGAGGACATGAGAGGAATGACTTCAACTTGCTGGAATTTCTGGGCTTCCTGTACAAATGTGTTTTGTTTGAAATTTCTGGTCTCCCTCCCAATTAGTCCAATTTGCTTTATTTAAGAATCCTGTCAACTGTCCTTGCTTTTTCCAGGGTCAGTGCAGATATGATTTGAGCTAAGAACTTGTGATATCTCTGGTCGTACTGGATTTTATCTAATACAGAACATTTCAAAATTGCTATCTCACAAAATGATGTAATCCTCAGCAATCAATCACATTTTAAAGATGAAAATGTGCTCAATGTGAAGTTATCATGCTCAAAACGTTTTCAACGACAGTAATATTTCATCACTGCTAGTCTGCTACCCATTCAAAACTTGTGACTTTGAGATTTCCAAACTGCAAAACATATACTTTTGATAATTATCATAATAGCTAAAAGAAAGAATTCAGCCCAGTAACCAGCAGTTCAAGTCTGATGATGTAACCACACAGAACAACAACATGAAGCACAGTGTAGGATGAAATGGTCAGCAGAAGAACATAAAAAACAAGAAGGCATGGGAAAGGAAGCAAAATGGCATAACTCGATGGATATCAGCAAACGTGCACTACAGCATGTTAACTATGCAAATCTACAACCAAATGGAATTGAGACCACCTGTTCACATGCACCCAATTTTATAAACCCCAGTGGTTTTCTTGAGCAGATTTGACTGTAATCAAAGCATCTTTCTTCTCATTAAAAATGTAAAGCAAAGCTTTGCAAGCAACATGTACAGGGTTACATACAGCATGGTGAACGCCTTACCATCATTGTCCATGTTGTACACAATCCACTTGGTCGGTGACGGGTCCTCGGTACCCTGTACCATGCCGTTAGACATCCCCACTCCCATCATGCCATCCACCACGTCGCTGTTCCACTGAGACATGGTGTCGGTGGGGTAGTGCTGCTGCTGCTGCTGTTGCATGTTGTGGTCACCAGGGGGAGCCATGCTACAGTCTGCTGTGTTCATGTACATGGGCTGCTGCTGCTGCATGTATCCTTGGGCCTGGGAGAGGTATTAAACAGGGTTGAATATGCTGATTTGAACACTGCAAATATGTGTTTCCACTTGTATTTCTTATACAGTGCGGAATGGTTTTGACTGTGAACAACACAAAAACCCTTCTATTGCAAAATTAACTCCCCAGAAAAATGAATGAATGAATGAATCAATCAATCAATCAATGACGGCGTCAAGCGCATGCGCGAAGAGTAAACACCTTCTCGCGTTACGGGAGTTCTTCACCATCTAAAACCCTCGTCGCGAGCCAAATTATTAGGACCAAAACCCTTTACAACTTCGTTGGAGGACTTCAAGATCACCCGGGACCGGAAATTGAGGCAAAAAACTGTTCCCAGACTCTGAAATCTCAACCAGCAAGAACCGACTGCACCAAAGGGGGAGGGCGACCTCGCCCGCGTGCAACGGCAGCCATCTTGCTTTTCTAGAATCGCGTTCACAGAACAGAAAATGGACTTGTAATTACCACGTGTCGCGAGCGGTAAAGGTAGGGCGGCAACGCGAGACCGGTAGGGCGAAACATTACCTCATACATTGTAGGATTATTAATTTCATTTATAATAAGATTCAATCTAACCGCTTACACATAGCTTTACCTGAAATAGATACATGTTCTAACATGTTCACTTAGTGCTCTGGGCCAAAGAGAGCCCTCAGTACTTCCTCACAATTATTTACATAGGCCACCTGAAATTTAGCTAAATACTTGGTCCTAATATGCATAGCGCCTAGTGGTGTGCTCTTGCCAAGTAAGTGAGTATAGTAATATAGTACTCTGGGCCAAATAGAGCCCTTAGTACTTTCACACAACCATTTACATATCAGTGAATTACCGCAAATTTTTGGGGTTCAACATATCTACTTATTAGCGCCCTCGGCCAAAAAGTGCCCAGAGGTACGCTCCTTATAAGTAAGTGTGTAAGTAAAGTACTCTGGGTCAAAGAGTACCCTTAGTGCCTCCACGTGACAAATTTTCTCCTTTGTCACGTTCCTTGTAGTTAGGTAACCATGTTGTGGTCAAATATACTAAATTTACTAGTAACAATACTGGGTCTCTACTCCCTCGTTAACCAACTGTCAAATCACCTTCAAAAACCCGGTTCTTCGAACCACGACCTTCTTATGGCTCCAAATGTTGACACCAAGTTTACTCCTAGTATCCTGAACCTACTTAACCTTCATAAACACCAGAAAAGCCAACCCAATTCACTTAGTCACCCACTCAAATCAATTTCTGTATCCATTGCCCTTTTAGTTATGCTGACTCAATCAGGGGACCTGCACCCTAATCCAGGCCCTTACAAGCCAAAATTTCCATGTCTTCTCTGCAACAAAGCAGCAAAATGGAACCAACGTGCCATCCAATGCGACGAATGTGAGGGATGGTACCACGTCGATTGCATGGCCATGTCAACTACAAACTATAACATCCTAGCGAACCATAATAGTATGGAGTGGATCTGTTGCCAATGTGGATTACCGAATTTTACAAGCTCACTCTTCAACAGTAGTGACATTGAAACATCAAACAGTTTTGAAAGTTTGTCCTCAATAAATAACCAGTCAAATAATTCTAGTAATCCCTGCCTAGACGATAACCACAGTAATTTATCCAAAACTGGATCCCCCAAATCACCCTTGGCTACATCGTCCCCTAACCAGTATAAACCTAACAAACGTAAAGCCCCTAAACAGAAACTAAAGGCTTGTGTAATAAACTTTCAGGGTATACGTAACAAGACAACTGACTTAGCAGTATGCCTAGACCAACACTCTCCGGATATAGTCTTGGGCACGGAAACACATCTAGACGACTCAGTTAACAGCAGTGAATTATTTCCCCCAAATTACACAGTCATAAGAAAAGACAGAAACTTTGGGAAAGGGAGGGGTGTCCTGCTAGCCTTCAAG